TCCGAGATCAAAAAGGAGCTGACTGTGTTTTTATGCGGCTCAGCCTGATTCTCTTCAAATGAATTATGCATTGTGTCACCAGTTACATGACAGAAAACGAAGTTTTATATATATTTCCAGTATAATCTGATTCTCATATGCAACAAAACATCACAAAAAATGATGTGCTAATAAATTCTCAAATTATGTGGGAGGGCTAGACGCTGAAAAAGAGCATAAATGCTCATTAAATCAATGTTTTTAGAAGTTATTATACGCTGATTTATTTTCACACATACAAAAACAAAGTTATGGCACTTTCAATTCAGCCCACGCTCTTGCTGTTTTCTCTCAGTTAGCACTGGCATTCTCTAACAAAACCATTTTCTTAGCTGTCAGCTCTCAAAGGGAACCTTTTCTTTTGCTATAAATCCATTTTCATGAAAGGAAAGAAAAACATTCAGTAGCATTAAAATCAGTTGTGATTTTAACTAGATATTAGAAATTTGTATTGAATAAATACATTTTAAAAAAATAAATCATTTTGACTGGCAATTATTTATATTTGTTTTAGCGTTGAGAATTCGACAAAATAAAACAAACCGTTTCTTGGCCACATCTGTTACTAAATGCAAAACTAACTTACCAACACACTTCCCACATCAACAGCTCGCCAGAAGAATAATGCAAAAATGGATAAATGTCATCATTATATGATGCCACAATTTTGTGTAACAATAAACCAAACAAATGTCTACGTTAGTGCTGTCATTAATTTAAGCACTTTTTCGTAACAAATTATTCATTCTGCATTTGGTGTCTAACTAAGAGTGCTGTGAAAAACTATTTACTCCCTCACAGATACATTTGAGATACATGTCAGACAGATATACCTTGAAAAAATACAGAAAGTAGTAAAATTGGGGAAAAAAGTTACCTAAACAGCTTGACCCTGTGTGAAATACTATAGCCTCTCCTCAATTGATTAATCATGAATTAATTGTGATAGCTTCATTTTTTGGAGAACGGAGGTAAGTTTCACCACACCCATGACTGATTCCTTTTAAACCTGCACAATAAAGAAATTATTCAAACTGAATATTTCTAAAAGATCCCAAAAAGCAACACATCATGTCCAAATCTAAAGGAACTTAAGATCAGATGAGAAACAAAGTTACTGACGTCTATAACTCTAGAAGGGTTTACAGTGCCATGTCAAAGCCATTGCTGACAAATAAAGAAAACGGAGAATAGGGAAGAACCTTCTTAAGAATTTTTAATGGTGGTTTGGATCTTTTTTTTTTTTCTTTAAAAATTGCATTTTTGTATTTGCTCAGGTTTTAAAATTTGCTTGATGTGCTGAAACGTTGCATTGCAAAATAAAAAGCTGAAATCTGTTGTCTGGCAATTACTTTGTATCAGCATATTTTTAGGCTGGACTACCAAAATCAATCCACTTTTAGATGATAATTTAGTTTATTGAGAAGCATAATTTATAACCATATTTTTTAGATCTTCACAGCTACTTTTTGCTGCCTTTTAGTGCACTGAATAAAAGAGAAGAGGCTGATGGTGTTAAAGTGCAGAAGGCAAACCTCTGCTTGTACAATGACTTGCACAGAAGTGAAATCAACATCGATCCAGCGCCCAGTGAAGCACATGAAAAACAAGGTGCAAACATTGATGGCATGATTGATATTACAGGAGCTGAAGACAAAAATATTGACAACTCGCATCATCGGCATCAGTGTTGACGGTGGTATTCTGTCACTGATATTTTTCATCTCTTGCTGAAACAAGCATGAAGCACTACCTTTACTTTTTCCCCCCTAACACCTTAACAGAAGCAACATTGAGTTTCAGCTTCAGAGACAAATGTGGCAAATTGGCTTTATACAAATAAACTGAAGTGAACTGAATTGAATGGAACTGAACTGAATATTTTTCAGCAGTTGAAACAGATAAACACAGCTTGGGTGTGTATCACTCTTTAAGTAGCTCTTACACAAAAAGGCTGCTACAGCTAGAAGCCTGAACATTGAGGCATAACAAAACAATACTTTTATGTTGTTTAAGCCAAATTCTGATCTTAGCATCTGAATGTTGCAGCTGAAACTAAGAGTCATTGGACCAGGAAACATTTTTCCACTTGTGGACCAATTTTTGTGAGCATGTGCAATTTGGAGCCTCAGCTTCCTGTTCCTAGCTGATTGAAGTGGAACCTACTGTCATCTTGTGGTTCTGCATCCCATGTGATTCAGGGTTTGATGTGATGTAGGTTTAAAGATGGTTCTGACATGAACTGGACATTTTCTCTTTTTCACACCATTTTATGTAAACCTGACAAATCGTCGTATGAGAGTCCCAGCAGATCCGCAGTTCCTGAAATATTAAAACCAGATAACACATACCTACATGCTATGTTCAGACTGATTAAAAACAAACCCTTTTATTCCTTATTGTGATGCCAGACTTAACTTGCTTCCATGTAATTGGCTGACTTCATATCTTTGTTAATTATTGCTATGACTCAATGCATTGTGCAGCTTTAAAAATAAATGATATTGTTTTACCAGCAGTGGTTGTACTGCTTGCAATTATGTTTTTAAAAGCAGGCAGTTTTAATATGTTTATTTAATGTTATTCTGCAATCCTGTCAATACCCGAGGTATTTTTGCTTGAGGTTATCATATCAACAGACTTTCATACCAGCCTGAGTCTGAATGTGACAAATATTCTTTAAACCCAAGAGAAAAAGCAGAGAAAGTATCAGACGCAGCAGTAGATATAGTGCATCTTTTTCTGCTATAGCTACGTCACCACACCCACATTAAAACTAATGCAACACTGCCAAGAAAACACAAAGGGAGAGAAACAGAAATGACAACATTTAGTGAACGAATGGATGTATGTCAAACTGACAGTCAAAATATCACTAACCAGTGAAAGTAAAAAACAAAAGTCTCAGAAATGTTAAAAATTTTATTTCACACTCTTGAGCAACCCAGCTGAAGTTTGCAGGAGAAAAAAGTACAACAATAGAAAATGCACCTTGTGTTGAAGCAAGTATCCGACCGTAGCTCAAGGAGCAGAAACGAAACACACCCAACAAATACATCTGTCTTGAATACAGAACAGCAGCAGCGTGAAAGTTTTTGGAGACATTCTGCATCGCAGCAGCCAAGCATGAAAGGGGATGGCTGACAGACAAATTATCTCTCTGTTTCCATAGCGATCTATGAATGGCCTCTGCTAGTGCCTGTGACAACCAGATGCCTAGAAAGACAAGACATTCCCATAAAAAGCCAACGCTCTGTAGCAACCCTGTTATTACTGCTATCATTCAATTGGACTTGATTTGCATAATTAAAATCTGTTATTGCCTGGCTCTGGAAGGTATTGCAAGACCCTGTTTTTACCAACTAGACCCCCCACCATGACACAGAATGAGAAGACCCTTACAAGAGGAATATAGCCCCTGCGTGTCTAATAAATACAAAGATAATCTATTTAATTGACCTTAATAAGGCTCTTTTTCCTGCAGACTGGTCATATATTGTGTGCTGCCCCAGGCCAAAATCACTGATGAGGTGAGTCAGAGCTTGGACTTCACTCTGTTACCTAGATGAAAGACTCTGACAGCGCACAACCCAGCAGGTGCTGACTAAGACACACTGAAAGAGGATGGAGAAGGTTTTTCTTCTTTCTTTCATGAAAACCTGTTGTGATTCCACAGTAATCAGCATAACTGATATGGTGCTCACACCTCAAATAGCAGTTAAGCTTCTGTGGAAACATCCATTGCAATATTTTTAAATGATCAGTTCTAATCAAACACAGTGCAATACACCAATACACACAAATATGAGGAAGACTGCTGACATGACGATTGTACAGTAGAGTCACTGACTCTACTGAGGGTAAGTCACAAAGGGGCATTGCTTAAGAAGTTAGCAGTTCATAGGGTGCTGTATCCAAGAATTTTAATGGACAGATGAGAGGAAGAAAAAAGGTTTAGTAGAAAAAGGACAACAGGTAGCACAGGTAATAACAGCCTTGTGAAGATTTCCTTAAAAATTAAGATTACAGAGGAAGAGTGGAGATGCACAAAATTGAAGTTTTTGGAGATCCTGCATTAAGTTTCCCCCCTAAGCAATGATTTGGGAAGCAACGGCAACTGCTGCGAATAGTTTGAGCAGGCCTGACCTAAAACCTGTGGAGCATTTATGAGGTAGGGAATCGTTTTTGTGAGGAGCTTGGCAGGAAATTTGGCAGGCGTAGGAAGACCAGCAACCAATCAAAGCTCTTCAGAGCAGTGCTTAAAACACATCACAAGCACCACTTGTTCGAACATCGTTACTACACCAAGTTAAATCGATGAAAGCAGTGCAACTGTTTGCAGGGATACTGGATAAATAATTCAGTTTTGTAGTTAAAGTGTCATCCTTCAAGAAAACTACTAAAGCAACCTTCTCAACACCTCAGCTGATCACTTCAGTGTTACACCACATTGATGTAATAATCCATTCAAAAGGAGTCCTGATCAAGTATTAAGTGGGCCAATTTTTCTGTCGGAAAATTCCTTTTTCATTGGTCTTAAACTGAATTTAAGGTTTTTAAGATATAATCATCCCAAATTACAGCTTGGAAAATATCCTTTTGTGAGCAATGAAGTTGTGAACAATGTGAGTCTCACTTTCTGATTTGAATTACTAAACTACCTCAGTACAATTTTAAATAAAATTGCATTTGTTGAGATTTGCCTGTGAATGCAAAGGTATGAAACAGGATAATGACAAAGAACCTTCTGACCCTTTAGCAGCATTTGGAGTAAACATGAACAGGGAGAGGATGCAAGCTCAAGACAGAAAGGCTGGGATTTACATGTTTTTGCTGTGAGCAACAACAACAACTGGCTCCACCGACAAAAACAAAACAATAAATAATTTAACAAAGCCTAACTTTTGTCTGTGGAATAGCTGAAAAACAAGAAGCAAAGACAAATTGACTCAGAGCCTTACCTCAACTAGGTGTGGAGTGGGATTGAATCCACACATGTTGCACACCTGGGAGTGGCACTGTGTGCAGGTGTTGTAGTTGGGTTCCTCAGAGGCGTTGCCGATATTAAGGTTAGTCTTGCAGAGGGGACAGGAGGCTCTGGGTTTAGAAGACTCAGGGGGAGCATGCCGTTGTTGCTGCTGTGGTGGGGGTTGTGGCCCTTGTTGTGCAGGCGGTCCCGGAGATTTACCTGCTCCGGGTCCTGGACCAGGAGGCCCCCCAGGTTTGGGAGCCGGTTTTGGGGGCTGCTGCTGTTGCTGGGGTTGAGTGGTCTCAGATATGAGAGTGCTGGCCTGGTTTAAAAGGGAAGCGCCGAAGCCAAACAGCTTTCCAAATGTCTGCTCGGGGGGAGGGGGCTGTCGTGATGGGGAGCTTCCAGCACTGCGAGTCTGATCCTGGCGGGGTTGCTGGGGATGGTGGGCAGGCGAGCCTCGAGAGAGATCTGGCTGGGATGGGGCCTTGGCCATTCCAGGGAGAGGGACCGCCCCTGGAGGCAGTTTGGGTTGTTGATGACCCGGACCACCTGCGGCAGGCTGTTTGGTAGGGCCAGGCGCTGGATGTGGCTGAGCCGTAGGCTGTTTCTGAGGAGTGGGTTGAGGCTGAGGCTGAGGTTGAGGCTGAGGTTGAGGCTGAGGGTGAGGCTGAGGCTGAGGCTGAGGCGCGGGCTGATTGGTAGCTTCAGGTTTGGGCTCAGGTTGGGTTGGATGAGAAGGAGAGTGAATCTGCTGCTGACTCTTGGAACGTGGTGTGGTCATATCCATCCCCAGCGCTCTCTGCATCTGACAGTTCAAACATAGCCACTCTTGTACCTGAAAGAGGAATAAATTCAACATTAAGCCACAAAGCTCTCCGACAATTCACAGCTTCTGTTTGGATCTGCAATTTCAATAACACATAAGACATAAACCATATTATCTTATATCTGCGAGTACAAAGTCAAATCCAGCTGAAAAACATAAACACCTTTTCACTTTGGAATTTCTCTTTTTTACGTATACTTCCATATATCTTTATGTATACAGGCATTGCTCTACTAGTCACATAATGTAACATTTTGAGAAATAGGGCAATACATTTTAATGAACTTTACAGTGCAAAAAGAAAAAATGTTTGACTTGAGGACTCTGCGTTCAAGCATAAGTTCAGCACTCAAGTGAAGTGCAAGAAAATCAGCAACGATACAGTAGTATACCTTCTGCTCCTAACTTTCAAGCTTTTTCCCCACTGAAATGGATCTGAATCTTTGAACATCAGCAAAAAGGACCTTAAACAGCAGGTTTTCTGAAGTGTTAAATTAGTCCTCTCATTGTGAGAAGTATTAGGAAAGCTAAACTAGCGGAAACACTGCAGAAAACTAAAAATGCAGGAGATGATGAGAACAAAAGAACAAGACTTTCTTAAACAGATACAGTAAATTATCGTCAGTGCTGTTTGAATGCTCCCCATACTTTCCCTCAGGTATTAAGTAAACACCCCACTTTCTCCTTGCTGTCCAAAAATATCCAAGAAAGTTAAACTATAAAGTAAACTACAGTCAATGTGTGGTTTTTCTTTGCTGTAATGCAGTATGCACGTTTAACTGTTTGTCTGACTGACTGCATGTTTACCACTCATCCAGTGCAGCTGAAAAAAACCCTTCAGTCTAAATGAATAGGGGGAAATTTGAATGTGGAAAATGATTGAAGTGATTCATAATTGGGAATGATGTGAAATGTCCCATTGAGGAGGGATTTAAGCATCCATAAAGCTCAGCACCACCATTAATTGGTAAACACTGTTTACCCATTTACAAAAGCATGGCAAATAAATGTGACAGATGGAGACAACTTTGGACATCTTTAATAATCCAGAGCTGACCCTCGTTATACGATTCCCCCAAATGTATTATTTGCACCTCTTGCCTTTCTTCTTTTTTTCCATCTTTATTAAAATCCTCTAAACAATCTAATCTACTTTTTTGAATCCACAGTCATTTCTTCTTTGTTTCAGACTCTTTTGCTTTTTCTGCTGCCTTTTTTCTTTTTTGCACCATTGAGGTGTATGCTGAAGAGAAGGCCACTGAGAGGTGTTAGTGATGGCACATGGCCATAAGAGGTAATTGGCATCCTGGTGCTTTGACAGCTGCCACACTATTGTAGCTGTTGTGGATTCATGGTCATTGCATAATGCCTTCATGCATTATAAATGCAGCCAGAGAAAGGCTGTGAGAGAGCAGGGGATCCCTTAGAGATACTGGGCACAAAGAGTGATGCTACAAGCCTGTTGTTCACTTTTTCTTAAATAGTATTAGGTCAAAATGCCTCTTAAGCCAATTTTGGGTTATTTATAGATTAAAGTTTAATGTTTGCTCTAAAAAAGAAGCGATTAGAGACTTTTTTTATAAGTGTGAAATTTAGCACCAATCTTTACATAGTGGTGATTAAATGTTAGTGACCTGCAAGTCCGAATTACAAAAGAGTTAAAAACTGTGACATTATGGGCAGTAATGAATCAAGCAAAAGTAAAAACAGTAGAAGAATAAGAATAGAAATGTGATTCAGGTACAAAGTGGTTGGCAAAGCCAGAAAACTCAAGAGTAGACAAGAAATAAACTCAAAGCTAAATAGTTTGGGGTTTTTTAATGACAACTACAGCCAGAATGTTCTGGATTTTAATCGTGGCCTGAAATCTTTCCATAAGGAGTTTGAAAGTTTTTCCCATGTAAGAATGCCTTCTCTCCAGAGATATAGTGGCAGCCAATAACCAGTCAGTGTTTTAGTCCCAGTGAGGAGTGGGGGATGGTCATATGACCCTCCTCTCATCTCCTACTTTTGCAGTTTTGATCTTTTCGTACTAAAACCTCTGAGATGTTTCATACCTATACATCCAGTGATTCAACCCTTTTATCTATAGTAGTTACTAAAGAGCAAAACCTTTAAAAATCCCACCTTTTTGTATGTGTGTTGGAGTTGATGGTACACTTAAAAGTCACCTTTTTGGACTCTTGTTTGCCCCTACATTCAGGGCTACCTACTTGCCAATCAGTGTAAGTTCACAAACCCATTCTTCAAACATTCTTCGAATGGGAGGCACTAAGTCAGAAAGGATAAACACCTGACAAATATCTTGTCAGTCCTAGAATAAGATCCTTCCAGGTAAAAAAAATATTTGTAGCATCAATAAATGGTATGACCAAAGAGCTGAAAGCGGGATGAAGAGGACAGGAGCATGTTGCAGTAGTGTAGCCAATATAAGAGATTAGAAATAATGTAACATACGTAGCCACATTAGTTACAATATCTTACATTAAAATATTTTGTATTATTTATTTGTCATGTACATATTTATAGTATAAATGCTTGTTTCCACCTGAGACCAAAACTCTTTGAAAGGTTCATGGTTAAAAAAAAGCTAAATTTCCCATTTGTTTTCATTCTAACAGCTGATCCAATCAATTTAGGGACAAAAGTGCTGAATGAGGTTTTAACTCATGCATGAAAGAGTTAAAGTAATTTTCTAAATCTACCCGTGACTACTGTAAGGATTATCAGACTACGGTAGGTAATATCTATCAGCAGGAGGTCGCTCAGAGTAATTTTGTGTTGATCGGGGGTCATTGTCTGTCATATTGTACAAGTCAGTCGGCCTAAACTTGAAACAGAATTAGAATTAATAGAAATATTAAGCAATATAAAGACTTCCGAAGAAAACACAGGCACAATTAAGTTAAATAATAAGCGAGATTTTGCTTCAGTTATAATTAACTTCCTAATCAAACAAAAATACTTAAATAAAAGATAAACTAATTCAAATGCAATGGAGGAAGGAAGGGATGAAATAGGATGACACAGTAGTGAAGAGATGATCCACCTCTCATGCACAGTATTGTTGCACTTCTTTTATAGTGCAGAATTAAAAATAAACATTTTATTTTCAAAAAATGAAATGCATGTGGGGTTTTTTTGTTTTGTAATCAACATAGATAGGATTTAAACAATGTAATTTAATATGTGCCCTATTACATTAAACTTAAATATATGATAATGACGTCATACCACTATATCAACATTTGCTAATTACAAGACCTCTTATCCTACCCTCTAAGCTTATTTGGCTCTCTGTGTAGTAGCTGCTGAAGAAAGCTGATAATTGTACAATTAATTTAATATTGTACATTATCATAATACAATTACAGATCAAAACAATTATTATAACCTTGCAGGCATATTATCACTTCACAGCTTAGCTACAACAGCATGAGTCACTGGACCTTTTGAATTCTTGAATCCCTGCACAGAGCAGGGAACAAACTATCCGCCGTGCTGGGATCTTGTAGTGACACGAGAGGCTCAGAAACTCCAACCTGAGCCGATAACATCTAATTTACACTGTAGCATAATAATCAGATTGCACACCTATTTCTTTTCACTTTGTTATTCTTTCCTAACTGCTCAATGTTTGGATCAATGTGAGAAGAAAAGAGACAGAGACAATGAGTCACTGGTGTCAAAGTAGGATGGCTCAGCCTTTAGGACATCAAATTCATCATTTAAGTGACGTAGAAAGCTAATTTTGTACGGTGACATGACCCAATTTCTAGTTTTCAAAATGAAAAGCAGCGCTATTAAACCTATAATAATATGATTAGTCAATTATTGCAAACACAAAAATGTCTGAAATTAATTGACTGTTGCTTTGATTTAGATGCAGAGAAACAGAGTGTTGACAGTCGACGTGTAAGGATTTGCAAATCAGTTTGATTCAGGTAAAGATATTACTCTTAGATTCATTTAAAGTCAGTGTCAGGAAAAACAGTAGCCCATTTTAAAATATTCATTTTATTATCTTATTTTTCTTAAACAGATTTATGTAGTGGTGGAAAACCAAAGCAAAATGTAACATGAATCCCCACTGGATTTAATATCAGTTCTTCATTAATTCTTACACGTAATATTTCCTGTAATTAATGTCTGTATGCTGTCAGTGTATGAATCGCATGAAGCTGAAGTTACATTTCTTGTTTGTGGACACAGTGATGGTCAATAAAGTCTATTCTGGTATTAGTTCTTCTTCTCCTGTTTATAGAGTAACGATGCGAATCTAGCAAGCCAACACTAGCTGGTTAATTAGCTGAAACATGGGATCTTATAGCTAGCCTGCTGTCTGCTGCTTACCACAACTTATGCTCCAGCATATTAGTGTGCAATCCCATTCCAACGGTAATTGGTGTAGTTTATTTTATGTCCACACAACGATGCAACAAATAACATATTTTCTATTCAGAACAAACCTGTGTGTTCAGCAACATAAGGAAACCCAGTCTTTGGGTTTTGGCCTTCTTTGCAATGTTCTGATATTCAATACTGAAGCTGATAAAATTCTAATCACAGGAATGTGTCAACAAGCACAGTCAATTAGAAAGTAAACAAGTAAAATGGTATGTATTTTCAAGACAAATTTCACAAAATGCTTTAACAGACAAAATAAAAACCCAAAAGCAGATTTAAAAACACAAGTTTTTAGCTGACTTTTAAAGGAAGCCACTAAGTTCACTTTTCTCGTTGACAGAGGAGGAGAGGAGAAGAAAATCATGTTTCCTTCAGTTTTCCATTTTTTATTGGGGATTATAAGCAGCCTTTGATCACAGGACCTCAAGGACCTGATGGAGATGATGGAGATGTAAGGATCTGGTAGTCCTTACATCCTTACTGTCCATACAGAGCTCTCCAAGTCAAAACCAGAATCTGGAATAGCACTCAAAAACTTAGCAAGCACAAGTGTAGCTGCATTAGAGGAGTAAGGTGGAGTGCAGGCGCATACTGATCAGATT